AATTATCCGTTACTGACAAGAACCAACTACCACCTATATTGACCAGGATTTCTTGATAAGTACTTTTAACCGCCTACTCAGATGTTGATTGAAGCATATGCTAATTATATTCTTGTGCAATAATTATGAAAAACCGATCAATAAAGTTCCTCATTGTCACTCTGGTTACCTAGACACTTTAAGTAGATTATTCTACCCGGTAATTGATCTTCATTGGAGTTTTTTTCTTCACTGTTTTCTAAAAACCTAAAAGATTTACACTTTGATATTCTTTTTTTTCTTTTATCCTAGTAATCCGCTAATATTACACTATATTCATCTACATTTGTATGCTGATTTCAAAATGTCATAATAACTACAATATAATGTTGCTTAGACTATATATAAATTCCAAAATCACAGATTTCAAATACATACACTGTAAATTGACTAGTTATTCATTTCACACTACATAATCAATAAATTAAAGTGTATATTAGTCTATGTTTAGACGTTTGACTTTTTACTTAAATGTAATACGTCTATTCATCTATATGTTATGTAATACTTGCTATTCATACTGAAATAACATTTTCTATTCTTATTCCTTTAGTAAGCATTTCATTCATTAAAAAGTATGTCACATTTTATTGATCCCTGGTTGGTGATTAGTGTCATGTGTGTCAAGTCCTTCTTAGTGCAGATCGAATACTATGTGGCCACCAGTCTAGGTGACTCGACGCTGCGTGCGCTATGTTGAGATTAGATGGTGGTTGGAGGAGTAGTCGACAGGAAACCCTGGACCCGGGTTTTGTACTTTTTGGCATTCGTCAACCAAGGTGTACTTGTATTCTTGAGGGAACTGGTGCACTCTGACAGATTCGGTCCCGAGTCACCCAGTTTTTGTTTTAATAATGTAGACAAATGATGAAATTAAACCAGTATACAATAATTTGACTATTGTACATTAAATTTGAATACAAGAAGCATTTGAGCATTCTTCCCAGTTGGTTTATTAGTGATGGGGTTTTGTTTTTGCTTTGTTTTTTTAAATGTTGAATTGACAATGAATAAAGAAAAATATCAAACGATGATTTCAACAATATTCATTGTGTGTCTGGGTAGATTTCAACTTGTATTTGAAATAAACCACTTATTCAATGATGAAATATAAATTTCAGGTTTAACGACATTTGATTTATATATGTACTATTGGCTGGTATTTGTATTGTTAATTCATACCTTATAACCATACATTTAAACTTACTTATGATAAAATGAAAAACAATGGTGGATAGACCATAATATATGGATGAACTGATCAGATTTAGGATAACAAGTCTTGAATTTTGGAGCAAAAATCACTCACTTATTTGGCTAAATCAAGTCTTGGCATTATAACTGATGTCAGTTCGTGATGTAAACCATACATCGAATTCCCAACACTAACCATCAACTTTAAATCATAATCCTTATTCTTGAAACTGTTTTATAACCCTCATTTAGCCCTAGTAATTAGGTGGACGTTCTCAAGTTCACTTTAGATTCGCTCGAAGGTCATCTATAAATGGTTTGAATAATTTTGCAAACATCTGGAACTCAAAACAATCGGCAACAACATCAATGTTACAATTTTTAATACAAATGTCAAGACAGTTTTCCTATATGGGCCATAAACCTGGAGAACTACGAAAACCATCATTCAGAGGATACAAGTGTTTATTGACAGCTGTCTACACAAAATACTCCGGATCCGTTGGCCAGACACTATCAGCAACAACCTACTGTGGGAGAGAGCAAACCAGATCCCAGCGGAGGGAGAAATCAAGAAGAAGCGCTGGAGGTGGATAGGACACATACTGAGGAAAGCACCCAAATATGCCACGAGACAACCTCTCGCATGAAATCCTCAAGGTCAAAGGAGGAGAGGAAGACCAGAGAACACATTATGCCGAAAAATGAACAAAAATTGGGTAGAACTGGGAAGGAAGTCCCAAGATAGATTGGGTTAGAGAACGCTGGTCGGCAGCCTGTGCTCCACTGAGAGTAACAGGCGTAAGTAACTACAAATTCTGTAGATAACAAGAGAGTTTGTTGAAAATTGATTAGTCTAATCAGAATGACAAAAAAACAAACATAGAAATATCGATATTTTTGAAGATACCTAAATTTTAAGATACTGATCGTTGGTTGAATGCCATAAGAAAAGAGAGAGTGATAAGTTGATGGTTGTCATTCTTTGGGTGATTTAAGTTTTTAAAAACCACCACTTCAATGAAACGTAGTTTATTTATATTTTTCATCTATTCTCGTTATGAATAACAAATTTAATAATATTGATTGCATATCAAACCATCACACTGTTTTTGGCTACACAACCCATTATTCTTAATTTTTTCTTGAAAAGTAATAAAAGGTGTTGAAATGGTAGAGAACATTTGTAACTCAGATAGATGATTTTCATGGAGTTTTGTCCTCTGAGCTGGATGGTTTGGTCTTGGATCTTTCTTCATTCTTCTGAACGACATCATCGGTTCTACAATCGAACCATCTATCTCAGAAAACAAAACTCCATCAAAACCTCAAAAGTATACTTTTTTCATGTTCTTCTGTATATATGTTTTGAAATGTATATTTAAATTGATAAATTTGGTCCAAAATGAACTTGTTTTCCAATGACTTTTATGATTCCATTTGATTTTGTGTATTCACTTCGTTGAAGTAATTCAACATTGATATAACTCTACTGAGGCGCGTTTCGTCCTATTTGGGACTCGTCAGCTGAATGTATTTGCATCCCATATTTGATATTCACTCCGGATCTCGTAACCTGTACCGTTCGCTTCAAACGCCATCACATTATTCATTTAGCAGCTGAGTTGTGATAGGTACTTGCTTGTGCAATACAAAGGGAATTCAAATGTTTTTTGTTCTTTAACGAAAAAAGTTCGGCTTTCTAGTGTTTGTAATATTGGCCCTTTATTCTCTCCTACTTTATTATTCAAGAAGTATGTTCCACATATGAACATTATAGAAAATATATTTAAAAATTTTAACTTCTAAGAAGCTTTGAAAATTGAATAAAATTATATTTTATTTATAAAGTATTTGTATTAGGGAGATTATTTCAAGTGGAATATAAGATCCAACGGTGTTAATGCCTAACTTCGAATCCTTCTGATACTAATCATCATATGCTCATAAGTGTATGATTTCAAGGGGCATTTCCTGCACTTCTAATAAGAAACTGTGACCAGTGGAGTTCGACCAGATATCAGCTCACTGAAGACAATGGTGTACGGTGGCGCAATGTCGTGGATTGGTTGAAGTCAGACATTAACACCGTTGGATGCCGGTCGGATCAGTGGTCTAATGGTTAAGCGCTCGCGCGTGAAACTGATAGGCCCTGTGTTTTAATCACGCGGGGGGGATAGTGAATGCGTACTACTGAGGAGTCCCACAATGGGACAAAACGGCCGTCCAGTTCTTCCAAGTTTTCTATGTTGGTCTAGCTTCAATTAACTCACAATTTCAATTATTAATCAGTTTACTGACTTATGATTTTCTCTACCCTTGTCATTATTAAAACCATTTAGTTGTTTATTAGACAAAAGAAAAGCTCATCTCTAAAATTCTGTACATAAACACATAAACCAATAATGTTTATTGCGAGAACAGCTAAATAAATAAATAAGTAATTGAAAAACAATTTTAATTCTCAAAATATAAATCATTAAAAAAATAAATTTCACTTTTAATCTAATACAAATACCATCAATAATTCTGTTGACAATAGTCCTAGTAGTAGTAATAGTATTATTATTATTATATTATTATTATTAGAAGCTTTATTCAACATTATATTTTTGGTACAACATAGAATTCTCAGCATAAAGTATTTCAACAAGTTTCTTTTTCTTATACTTTGATCGATTGTGACGATAAATTTTGAATGATGACCAGTTAGATGTTAGAAGTTCGGTAATCCACATTTGATTACTGTTCATTTGTTTCAATGCATATTGCCAGCAACCATGATGTCGCTGATTGTACCTTTTTGTATCCCGTATAGCTAAAGGTTTTAAACTTTTCATAAACGCGCCTGAATAGATTGTGCGCACAATAGACATAGTGATGTGCTAAAACAAACAACAAAACAGATAACTTGATGAAATATCCAGATCGGAGGAACAGGTAGCCCAGATATTCAAGCAGGCCGCCGGCTAGTGGTAGTAGTAGTAGTAGTAGTAATCGGAGTACGTTGTAATGCGTACCTCTGTGCATGTGTGTGTATGTATATATATATATATATATATATATATATATATATATATATATATTTACTGCCCTATTTATTCACATGAAACCACTATTGTCATAATTTGAAACTGTAATGATAGGCAAATTCATGTGAAAATCATTCAAACCAATTAAATAAAATGTTTACTGATGAAAGATTAATATACTCTAATATACATTAGCATCATTTTATCTTCAATAACAACAATACTAATCATACATTATAATTTACTATTCATACCTTTTTATAAACAATTTTACCTTGAATATCCCCAACAACAAGAACAACAACAACAACAAAAATACTACTCAAATAACAAGCTTGCCATTTTATGCACAGGGGTATGTTTATGTGTACATAGAAGTTAAATCTTGTATAGAATAAATTTAACTATTTCGTTTATATTTAATAATGATGGCGATTATTTTATGCCTTTTTTATTTCTATAAAGTTATCTTATCTAGTTTGAGCGATCTGCATAAATTTCTATTCACACAATAATAATAATAATAATATAACTGGTGCATTTATTATTACCTCCATGTATGTGTTTATCTCTCTATATGTGTATATTTATATGTCTTTGTTGTGTGTGTGTGTGTGTGCGTGCATACAAATGGATATGGTGAGAATTGAATGATGAGTGGATGGGAAAAAAGTCAACTAGAAACGAGCATTTTTTCGTTGTTATTATTATTATTATTATTATAACTAATACTATGTTCATACGAAAATCATGATGTACACATTACATTAAACTTAATATATATATGAGAGAGAAGGATAAATCTTCATGGAAATATTATACAAATGAGATATTTTTCTATCTTCTACATCATTTCGTTTAATTGGTATACTTGTGTAACTTCTATATATGGAACCAACCTATCATGATTAGTTGTTAACAGGTACAAAATTATACTATTTAATAACAATTAATTTGTGAACAATACTCAACTATAATGTATTGTTTACATTAAATTATAAATGATGTTTCTAATGATGTTTTACAATGGATATTAGAAAATTTCTCAAAGAATCCGTATATATATGTATCCTTAGGAATTATTAGATATATTTGAAAAAAAAAAGAAAAAAGAAAGAAAAATATCCTCCATCGAAAAGAAAATTATCCATAGAAACAGTATTGACTTGTTTAACTTATTAAATAGTTAGTTTATATATATATATATTGGTTTCATTCGGTCTTAATAACAATAACACATTATTGACGTCAGTGGAGAAACAAAATAAAACAAACAAAAAAACAACAACAGCAACAACAACAATTCATAGGTAAGTTATTATGTGTATTCTTTTAATTATAATGAATAATTAAATATTGTATTTTGAAGACTAACTTTTAAGGTAATTAGTGTTTGATAAGAGACAATTGAGTTTATCCTGATATTACATGTAACTCTTGTAAATCTATTAAAGATTTCAATCATTTTGAAGAAATGGTTTTTTTTAGCGATCTAGTATTCTACAGTATCAGTTTGTTATCCTAATTTCAAACCCTCTTTCTGGGACCGTCAATAGCCTCAGAGGGGCTACAAGCGGAGATATTTTGAAGAAATGTGGAAATTTAATTGATGCTATGTTATCTGAACTAAAAAGTAGTTTATTATTCTTGTGGATTACGTTATCAGTGTATATACTCCAAGTAGAAGCAAACTTCTTAAAAATCATTCTCTTGAAACTGAATCAAACTATTCTTGTTACCCTATTTTTGACTGGATATGTGCACAAGCTTTTTGCATCTTCATAGGTTTTGTTATTCTTTGATCCCAAAACTTGATATATTTATCCAATCTAATGTCTTTTTACAAATATCTTAACATAAGAATATAAATGTCTCAGCATGGCAGTTGATATTAGATAAGTTAACCGATCAAATGGTAAGATATCAGTCAAATAAATCAGTCAATATGAATAGAACGGCATATAAATTTCAAGATGATAACTAGCAAAACAGATATTTATTCAAAATAATTAATTTAGCGCTTGTGAAATAATTTTTTGAAAGTATACTTCTTCTTGGAAAAGAAGTTCTTGCTATCTTCTAGAACCATAAGGAAAGCTTTACAATTGAACTATTCAGTTTAAAGAATGCAAAGTCATGACATTTTTTAAACTATTGAAGTTTACATTACAAATAATATGTATTAAAACCTATGAAAATAACCAGAATAGTCACTTCTGCTCAAACTAAGTTTCATTATAAATCTCAACCACTACTCAAGTAAAGTAAACCAATAACATATTCATTCTTATTAGATGTTTTATTGAGTTTATAATAATCATAATATGAAAGTGTACAATCTAAAGGGACTACTGTAACATAAATACTAAGACAAACAGTTCATTATCAAGGAAAAAAGATTAATCACTTCCATGAGTCATACTATACCTATGAAAACGTTTTGTGAAGATCGTCATTTAATTTTCAACAAGCTTTTACTAAACTTTCAACTGTCAAAATGATAGATTCTCTTTTAGATAAATTTGTGACAATTACAGTTTGGATGGTTAACATGACAGGGTAGTCAACATGAATTATGCACGAATTATGTTATTTTCGAAATCTTCATTCATTTATAAATACGGTTGAATTTTTTTCGTTTAAATAACCATCTTTGCTTAGAATACTTATCAATGAAAGTAATACGTACAATATGCATATAAACCAATAAGAGACTGATGAATTGCAGTACTTAACATGAACGGGAAGATTCAAGTAAACAATACTAAGTGAATTTATTACTTGATCTCATTGCACAAGCAAGTTGCTTTTAGGGATGGACATCAACTCCGGGATGAAGATGAATCCAGCTGATGAATCCAAAGTAGGACGAAACACACATCCTGGATTCCATTGTTAGCCACTATCAGTCTCTGATTAGAATGCTTGCGTATGAAGGCAATATTGACACAATCTGAACACAATGCATATATGCTAATAACAGACTGATTAATTACAGTGTTCTAAACATCAATGGGAGGATTCAATTAAACAGTGCGAAAAGAAATTTCATCATGTAGATAGGATTTTCAGTACGTTAATATATAATTCTTATTTATTACTTAATAAACACTTATAAGACTTCTATGACTGTATACGTAGATATTATTATCACTATTATTAAGATATCCGTAGTAATCTCAGTAATGAACATACACAACCCCCAACATATTCATTATAACAATACATGTTTAAGTGATATATATGTAAGATGGTTTATACATTAAAACATGAAACGGTATATTTCACAGGTTGAAGTCATGAGTCAATTGAAGCTAGAACACCATGAAAAACTTGGAAGCACTGGATGGCCGTTTCAACCAGTGAAATTTTTAAAAATCTCCACAAAACCCATTCTGAAAACGATATATGTTCAAAGTATTTTACAAGTCTATTCAATAATATAAAAAAGATAATCTACTATTGCATATTTCAATTATTCATTTAACAATAATGTTGTATAACGAATAAATAATTAATCAAACTGAAGTGAGTCATAGTTTCAAGCAAAGGATCTAATTCATTTAGTACTGCAACCCACCCACACACACACACTGAAAAAAATGTGTGTTTTTTCTCGTTTTCTCTAATCACTAGGTTATATCTATAATTAGACTCATTCAGTAGTTTAAATGTAGTTCTTTTTTTAAATCATTAACTTAATCATGCATTAATCAATGACCAGACTTGGGAGAATGACATAATAATGTTGTAATATAAAACTATGATCTGTAGAGTTAATCAAATCGATACTGATGTAGTGTTTCATAGATGACATCTAATGAAGTTTCATCAAGTTAATGATAAACAAAATAGAGACTGACATATATTTATGTAACAATCAATAACGCTACATGACACTATGTTATAAACATTTTAGTTAATAGTGGTTGACAAACTCATTAACCGATTTATCATGTTTCTTTAGTATTCTAAACCTAACATTTGAATTATTTACACAGTTGTTTCACTATACATGATCAATCTTTAAAAGGTACCAATAATTAAAACTATATGGTCTGTCAATGCTTACTATATTAACAGACACTGTTTCATAGAAATAGAATGTTAGAGAGTGTATTAGTGAACAATATGCCTTGTCGTTTTTAAGAGATCATTTGTCGAAATATAACGAACTAAGATGAAATATCTAGGATGAAATGTCGAAAACTTTATTACTTTGAATTCACTTCAAGCAATGTAGCAAATTAAATATATAAGACTGAAAACGTTTATGTATACTCTAAAATTACTGGTATATTTTAACCAACAATACCTTCAATCATTTGTTAGACAAATTGCTTAAGATACTACTATTGTTTTATAGTTTAGTTATTATTATCATTATTTTTATATATCCACCAACAAGTATTCAATGTATTAGATTGAAAAGTATGTACCTCATTACTATCTTACTGGTGTCGTGTTTTATGTTATGATAGTGAAATAGATTCAGGTCATTTATCATTGAAATTAACTGTTCATTAGCCTGTTTAAGAAGTACCTGAGAAGAAAGCAGATACCATCTTAAGATGGTGGAGAAGATTTGTAGCTCAGGTGGATGATTTTGGTGGAGTTTTGTTCTCTGAGCTGGATGGTTTGGTCGTTGTCATTTAAGCTTTGTTTAAATAAATGAAGGGAAACAAGTGCACAGGCCAATTATATTATTCCCTTTTAATACCTAAAGTAATATTTATTTTAAATATAAGTCACCAACATTAGATATAAACTAAATTAGTACAAATTTCACTGAATGAAATTAGGTGGTTACAACATTTTATCTGGTAGTTTAATCAAAGCCTATTACATTACATTAACAATGGATTAGTTACACGCAACATTTAAGGTTGAAATGTTTGATTTCAATGATTAAGGTTATTAGAATAAGTTTATGTACTTAATACATTTTTTTAGTGGTCAATATCTAATATTCTATTGAACCCTATAGCCTATTGTTATAACGTGAAAATGATGCTGCTGATTAAGGGTAGCGAATTATTGATCGGACCAAAGACGCACAAACACGTAGAACGACCTAGGGTTCTGATTGGTCTCGCTTCCCTATCTAACCCAGCCAGTTGAGTCCAGAACACAAGTCACAGCCTCGGAGATATGAATCCTTGTATTTCAAACATACTTTGTTTATATACCAGTCAAGCAGACCACAACGTCCCATAAAATAGAAAATAACATTGTACAATAATGGCCAGTAGGAAAATGACACGTTAAACAAATATTCACCAATAAGATGATACCATTTCATGTCCAAGGATAACATTAGGCTTAACAGGATAATTCTTGGGATATTTTCCTGAATATCCCAACACCTATATCCTACAACCAATTTCGATTATGATTAATTTTGGTTAAACCATTTTATTAATTTGCTTAACAGACAATGTTGTTTGAACAGTAACAATTCGCATATTTCTTTATTCCGTTATGATCACTAGAGCATATGACAGAATCTAATTAAAATGTTGATCGTTTATATATCACCCGATGATTCATCCTCCTCCCCATGTATATATATATATATATATATATATATATATATATATATATATATATATATATATATATATATATATATATATGTACTTAAATCCTATTATTAGCTTTAGCTTTGCCTTACTATACCCTTATGCAATTTGACTATATATTTGCCTATATAATTGCACATATATATACTTATTCACTTCTCCGCTACAAATATGCTCAATGATCTGCGCTATCCCCTAATAAACTGTAGTTGCCAATTCTCATTACCACTGAGATTTATACAAAAATGGTTATCAAAGTGATTGATTAACGAGGCAAAGCCACTACAAAAGACGAAACTTTCTGTCCTGAATTCCACTGCTATCTAATTTTTTTTTTCTAAATAATAATCTTGTTGATAACATTTCTGAGATTATTTGAAGCCCAACATACTAAACTGCAATGGGATTAACTAGAATCTTTAAAATTCTATAACAACTTGACAAGATACATTTGTTAATTAGAGTTCTGTTTAACTGGGCTACATAAATTTATTCTCTTTCTAATAAGATTTTGATCTTACTTCATTCATTTAAATAAGATTTAGCATTGTTTTTTGTCACCACATGGCTTAACATTTTGTTTAATTTCTAATAATGGGACAAATTACATGACGGGAAATTCTAATTTCACATCTATCCTATTATATCTATCATAAATATATTGTCATATATAAGTATAGATAGCGTTTTGAATTTTTTTTCTGGTTAGCGTTTTGTTTTGGAGAGTT